TGGGTCAGGCACACTTTAATCCTCAGATTTATATCTTTGTTCTTGAGCACTTTAAAGAGGTCTTGTGCAGATTTGCCTAATGCAATTGTCACTTGATTTCTTGGCTGCTGCTTCCCTGAGTGTTGATGGTGGATTCAGACAAAATGAAGTCTGGCACCTTCAATCTTTTCTCCATTTATCATGATGTTATTTATTGTTCCAATAGTAAGGCTTTTTGTTTTGTTTGTTTTGTTTTACATTGAGATGCAATCCATACAGAAGGCTGTGGTCTTTGAGCTTCATCATTAAGTATTTTAAGTCCGTTTTGCTTCCAGCTAGCCAGTTGTACATCTGCATGTCACAGGTTGTTAATGAGTCTTCCTCTAATCCTGATGCCACGTTCTTCTTCATATAATCCAGCTTCTCAGATTACTTGCTCAGTTTACAGACTGAAAAATTATGGTTAAAGAATGCAACTCTGGCATACATCTTTCCTGATTTTAAACAATTCAGTATCCCCTTGTTCTGTTTGAATAACTGCCTCTTGGTCTATGTACAGGTTCCTCATGAGCACAATTAAGTGTTTCAGAATACTCTCCCTAACTTGTCATGATCCACATAATCAAAAGCATCTGCACAGTTAATAAAGCACAGATAAACATCTTTCTGGTATTTTCTGCTTTCAGCCCAAGATCCATCTGACATCAGCCATGCTATCCCTCATTCCATGTCTTCATCTGAAAACAGCTTGAACCTCTGGCAGTTCCCTGTCAATGTACTATTGCAGCCATTTTGAATTACCTTTGGCAAAATTTTACTCGCATGGGATAAAAATGAGATTGTCTGATGATTTCCGCATTCAGTTGGGTCACCTGTCTTTGGAATGGACACAAATATGGATCTCTTCCAATCAGTTGGCCAGATAGCTGTCTGTCAAATTTCTTGGCAGAGATGAGTTAGTGCCTCCAATGCTGTGTCAGTTTGTTGAAAGATTTCCATTTGTATTTCATCAATTCCTGAAGCCTTGTTCTTTGCCAATGCCTTCAGTGCACCTTGGACTCCTTTCTTCAGTACCATTGGCTCTTGACCATATGCTACCTCTTGTAATGGTTGAACACCAACCATTTCTTTTTGGTATAGTAACTGTGTATTCTTTGCATTTTCTTTTGATGTTTTCTGCATAATTCAGTATTTTACCCAAAGAATCCTTCAGTATTTCAAGCTGAGGCTTGAATTTTTTCCTCAATTCTTTCATCTTGAGAAACGCTGAATGTGTTCTTCCCTTTTGGTTTTCTAACTCCAGATAGTTGCACATTTCATCATAATATTTGATTTTGTTTTCTTTAGCTGCCCTTTAAAATTTTTTGTTCAGCTTTTTTGCCTCCTTAGTTCTTACATTTGCTTCAGCATCTTTATGCTGGAGAGTAAGGTTCAGAGTCTCTTTTAACATCCATTTTGGTCTTTTCCTTCTTTCTTGTCTTCTTAACGACCTTTTGCTTTCTTCCTATATGACATTCTTGATGTCATCGCATAACTCTTCTGGTCTTCGGTGGTTAGTGTCTAATACATCACATCTGTTCTTGAGATGATCTCGAAGTTCAGGGGGAATCTGTTCAGATGAGGCTGGAGACCATGAATTGCTGATGGTGCCAACTGTCCATGAGTGTTTGAGGTTCAGATACACAGGCAGAGAGTGCAGTCAGCTGGCCTGATTTGGGTTCAATTTTGTCCTGTCATGAATGGAGAGCAGGACACCACTGACCCTGGACTCTAAAGCCCAAGAGGACAGATGGGGCAAGGAGTCATGGTAAGGTAGGGAAGAAAAGCCAGGAAACAGAAGGTGTCTTTGAAATTGAGGAGGAGGTGTAATTGGAGAGGCTGAATGAGAATTCCAAGAAGAGAGATGTTGGTTACGAGTGAGATGTATACTTCAGAGGGGGTGATGCTGGGAGATATCAAGTCCTGGGTGTAGCCACAATAACAAGAGCCTTTTCTATTCTTGATGGCTGCCACGGCCCTGTCCTCATCCTGTGCAGTCTCTATTTCCATTCATGTAGGCAGTTTCTTCCTGTAATACCAAGATTTTCTTCCTGACAGTTTTTGAGCCATGTACATGCTGATTGGAAATGTCTGAGACTGAATGCTCTTGGGAAAGTCTTCGACTGAAAGCAGCTGGGAGTTAGTGGATAAACATTCAACTCCCTTGCTCTTCAGGTGGAGAAACTCAGGGGCATGTTCCCCACTGTCTCCCGGTTGTCCACAGTGATAACCTATTCATTATACATCCTGAATTGAACTATTTTACCATCCTTGTCTTCCATCCCAACTTCCCTACTTGTGCTTCCTGATACCAACTGCCAGATAAACTACTTACCCTAGAATCCTTGTTTCACCATCAGCCTCTAGAAGAATTCAACCCAGGACCGTGGCTCAAACTCTTTGAGCTTCAGTTTCCCATCTGTAAAACGGGGACTATCATATGTGCCTCTGAGAGTTAGGAGGATCCAACCACGTGAGCTATGTGAGGCCCCTAGTGTTGGTCTCAGCATGTTAGTGCTCTCTCCCTGCCCGCTCAACACACACTAGGTGTTTAAGAAAAGCTCCAATCCCTTCAGACTGCTTAGAGCAACTGGATTTCTTTTTTCCTGCCTACCAAACTCCATAGGCAAGCCAGTCCCTCAGGCCCCACCATTCCTGATGTTCTGTCCTGAACACCTTCCTGGTGGCCTCCCAAGCGGGCAGCAAAGGGCTCCCTGCAGACCTCTGGGCAAAAGGATGGGCCAGAGGCACCATGTGGTCTGGCAGATGGCTATCTGAATTCCTCTGGGGTAAATAAAAATCATACTCACGACTATAAACTGAGCCAGACACCAGCTACAAATGCCATCCGTGAGCTCATTAATCCTCACAGCAAACTTCGGGATACGACTATTCTTTCTAGTTCCCAGTAAAGGCAGTGGTGGGACTAGGATTCAGACCTAGGTCTGTCAGAAAGCAGAACTGAGGTCCTACAATCAGAAGGCAGGAATGCGCCACATCTACCCGTCACGCCCATGCCTGGCACGGACTCTGCACAGAGAAAGAAACCAAACCAAACCTACTGTCTATGAAGTCAGTTCCAACTCACAGTGACTCTCTGGTGGTGGCAATGGTGATGTGCCGTGGAGTCCGAACTGACCCATAGCGACCCTGTACAGGGTTTCCGAGGCTGTAAATCTTTATGGGAGCAGAAAGCCTCATCTTTCTCCCGCGGAACAGCTGGTAGTTTCGAACTGCTGACCCTGAGGTTCACAGCCCGATTCGTAACCACTACGCTACCAGAGCTCCTAGAGTAAAACTACTTCTAAGGGTTTCCAGGTCTGTCAGTCTTCATGGAAGTAGACTGGCTTATCTTTCTCTTGGAGAACATCTAGTAGGTTTGAACCAACAACACAGTGCCATCAGGGCTCCTCTGCACAGAGAAGAGCTTAGGAAATGAGTGTTGAGCTGAACTGACTGAACCAAGAAAATGGAAGGACCCATTCATTTTCTGTTTGACAGATCCACTAAAGGCACTTCTGTAGCCTCAATTCCTAGCACTAGGCTAGGCCCCTAGTGATGTTCAAACAAGGCGTGTGGATCAATAAACGAGTGAACATTTCATATTCCTGGCCAGACTGTACACTGTGGCCTAGATCCATTAATTGTATTAACATTCAAAAAACCAAACCAGTTGCCACCGAGTTGATTCTGACTATTGTATGTCAGGGTTTCTTTCTTCTTCTCTTTTTTTTTATTTTTTTTTTCACTATGGTCCTAACCTCCAGGCTCAGTGACCCATTTCCTCCAGGTGTTTGGTTATGGCTAAGAAGTTCCCATACATTTGCTCTCTGTTTGCTTTATTACATACATGGATACAGTTACAGATCATACAAATATGTATGTAGAAATACCATCTACCACACCTTTGGAATAAAGCACTGGACTACAAGGTCACTTTGAGCCACAAGGTCAGTGGTTCAAACTCATCAGCTGCTCCCTGGAAACTATACTCAGTGGCACTTAACTACAACAATAGACTTTTATTTGGCTGTGAGAGTAGTCCCTGTTGCCTACTCAGATCTGTCCATCTTGTCTGTCTGTCCATAGTTCAATGGCTATGTATGATCTTGCAGAAGTGCGTTGCCGGGCTTTTCTTCTGAGGTGCCTCTGGATGGGTTCAAACACTCAGTCTTTTAGAGAATAGCCAAGTCCTGAATCTTTTGCACCATCCATGGACTCATATTGCTGTTGTTGTTAAGTGCCATCAACTTGGTTCTGACCCATAGTAACCTTGGGTAGGGTTTCTGAGGAGCAGCTGGTGAGCGTGAATCTCTAACCTTGCGGTTCAAACCGACCTTGCAGTCCAGCGCATTAACCCACAGTGCCACACCAGGACTGCATTCTTCCATAAATAAGAATTTCCTTCACTAGCTGTTCACCACACCTCTTCTTTTCCACTAAGTTCTCAGTTCTAAAGGATGCTTGCTTCACTTGTCCCACTAATTAGAGGCTTCTTCTGGCTCCCTCATAGAGTGGGGGATGAGAACAGTCTATACAGCAAGCGCCTACTATGTGCTTTAGCATATGTTAGCAGAGTTGATTTTTCTAACAATCCTGTATGAGGCAGATGAGAAGACTGAGAGGTAACCTGGCACATTAAAGGCTGAACTGGGGTTGGACCCATAACTCATGTCCTTTCTCCACCACCAACTTTCCTTCCAAGCCCAAATTGCCTCCCTTCCCTTACAGTGTGTCCAGTGCAGATCTCAGAACGTGTCAAGCTGGTAACACTAGATCCGTCACCTTAGGGTAGAGTGAAGGAAGCACCTGGGCATCAGCTTACTAATTCAAGGGGCAATGAATTATTCAGACCACCATTAACTTGGAGGTATTTTCAGCCTCACCTCCCTTTCCCTTATTGCAGACCCCAGATCCTGAGACCTCAGGTCTCCAGCCTGCCTTGAGTTCTGCAGACCTGCGGGGGCTCCTGGTGTGGAGAGATGTTAGCAGACCTAGGGTCCTGTTTGCTGTTGGCAGTGGCACTGCTGGGCCCAGGGCCCAGGGCTCAAGCCATGAAAGGTAGGCGGCTTGGGGACAGACAGGAATGGGAAGGAAGGAGGGTAGGCTTGGGCAGGCAGCTGTCAGGGTCTCAGGAGATTTCTATGTGGGAAGCCAAATGGCAGAAGGCCTTTAAGAGGAGTTCACTGAGTTGAAGATGCATTTGTTTCTGAAAGGGGGTGAAGATAATAATTACTGAGTGCCTATATAAGGAGCTCTGGTAGCGTAGTGGTTACGAATCGGGCTGCTAACTTCAAGGTCAGATGTTGGAAACTACCAGTTGTTCTGCGAGAGAAAGATGAGGCGTTCTGCTCCCGTAAAGATTTGCAGACTTGGAAACCCTATGCAGAGTCACTATGAGTCGGAACCGACTCCACGGTACTTAACAACAACAGTTATGTGCTAGGACTTTGCATGTACAATTGCATTTCATCTTCACAACAAACTTCAAAATCCTCATTTTACAAGTGAGGAAACTGAGGGCTCGGGAGACTAAGCAATCTGTCCAAGGTTGCATGGCTACCAAGGGGCAAAGGAATGGTTCCAAGCAGAGGCTTATCTAAGGTATGGCGAATTTGGCACGTAACCTGGGTGCCATTTGAATGGGGGTGCCACTGAACCGGTTCTATTAACCATGGCAGTTTCCATGGTCAGTTGTGAGAGATGATTCAGCAAGTTAAAACCAATGCATTCGTATTTGAGAGTCTCTGTGGGTCAAGGCTGACTGTGACCTCTCCCTAAGAGCTTATCTGTGAGCAGCCTTATCCCCAAGTTATCTCAGTGTAAGGGGCTGTTGGGTGGGCAGCGAAACTGATTTCTCGCTATCTAGTCCATGTCTGTGTGTGGGCATTCATTTGAGTGTGGTTATCTCCAATGAGCCAAAGCGATTTGGAGATGCAGTCGGAGGGAGGCAAGCTCCACTGCATTTCACTTCCCACTTCTCACACAGTTAGAGTTTCCTGTCATTCTCCGTGCACCCCCACTTGGGACAGCTTCACTCCGGGTGGTCTCACAGTCCGCCTGGATCGTCCCCTCCTCTCTGTGCTCTGCTCCATCGCTACATCTGATTCCAAAACATTCTGCTCTTTCCCTGGGATGAATAACGAGGTGGGCCCGGACGGGTGTGAGCACACACTGGTGTCTGCAGACACCATCGTGTCCAAAGTGTTAAGTAAAAGATGAATGAGTTAGACTTGTATTTTGTGCTGATATTATGGTAAAGTTATCTCAAAGGTGGCTGTCAGGTGTTTGTGGTTCAACCTCAGTGCTTGCTAGAGGCACCATTTTCCATAGACAGGTCTCTGGCTGGGAGTCTCCGCTCTTCTTGAGAACCCCATTACCCCATTACCAGTCAGATGAAATCAGCGTTATATATTATAGCATTCAGTACATTCTGAGTATCGGCTCCAGCTTCTACATGATTCCAAGTCTCAGTTCCCTCCTTAGCTTGGGCATCCTGTGCTCACCTGTGAGCCTTTGCCCAGCTCCCTGTTCCCTCTGCCTGGAAGGTTGCCTTCCCCCATTCCCTCCCTTCCTAGGTGGCAGATGGAAATATCTGGCTAATCCTTCAAGGCTCAGTTCTAATACCACCTCCTCTATGAAACCCTTCACATCCCTCTGTAACTCTAGAATACCCCCTCTGCCTGTGTAGTCTTCAGAGGTTACTCTGGGCTGCTCTAATCCATGAGCTTTTTCTGTCTGGCTTTCCATTTCTCCCTTCTGCAAGGGTCCTTGCACATAATTTGGGCTCAATAAACAGTCAGTAGTGCCTCATTATTTTCTGGAGGCTCCAGCAGGGCTCAGGGGGAAACACATGACTTTGCCAACCACTCTGCCAGTGCAGAGATGGGGTGGGCACCTGGGTGGTAGGAGGCGCTATTTCTTCCCATTTTCCAGCAACCAGGACTCCAGGGTCTTGGAGTGACCTTGAGAATCCGACTGCTGGGCTGTGTTCTGGAACAACGCCTTCACATGTGTGGGTGCCTGGGGTAACCTGGGCCGCCACAAGTTCTCCCGACTTTTCCTGTCCTGTGGGTGAAGCTCTTCCAGGTCTGAGGGCCAGGGTTGAGGAAGGTGGGAGGGAAACAGGCACGGACACCTCCCTGCCATAAAGGTACCACCCCAGGGCCAGGCAGGGAGCCAGAAATGTGATCTGGGATGTTCATCTGCTCAGCCTTATCTCATCAGTGCTCACAGCAGCGCAGGAGGGAGGGTCAGGGAAGCTAAGAGATCATGCTATTACCATCCATCCTCTACCCCCAAACATTCCCCAACTGATACTGTTGTTGTTAAGTGTCATCGAGTCGGTTCTGACCCATAGCAACCCTGTATAGGGTTTCCGAGGAGCAGCTAGTGAGCTTGAACCACTGACCTTGCAGTTCAAAAGGCTTTGCAGTCTGGCGCATTAACCCACAGCGCTACACTAGGACTCCATCCCCAACTCATAGCACTTGTTTGTTCTTTCTAGTCAAAAGCAAAGATCACATCCTTTGTGAAGCTTGTCCCTCTTCAGTACCACTACCTAGCCCCAGCAAGATTAGCCTCCCTCTCTCTAGGTCCTAGCTTTATCTGTAGCCCAATTACCAAGTGGCTTTGTCTCATTTGTCCAACTCCTTCCCATCCTCTCAACTGTGAGCTCTCCAGGGCAGGAGCCCGTTCTGAATCAGCACAGGCCTGGTACAGATCACATGCTGCTTGGAATGTGTATCCTATTATAAGGACTTTGATCAAAAGTATTCTTCAGGATTCTTTTGCTTGCAAATGACAGAAACCCAACCTGTATGAGTTTAAGGGAAGAGTAGAATACATTGGCTCTGTAATCAGGAAGGCAGATGCTGGACTCAGGGGTGCCTGCAGCCAGGGGATCAATGCTCCTGAGTCATTGTCATTGTTATTGTCTGCTGACAGACTTTCTCCACGAACCCCAAGCGCTTGGTGATAGTGTCCAGAGCAACCAGTCCCAATCTAGAGGCCAGGGAGAAAAGGGTTCCCCTCTGGCCTGAAGCACACGCCCATTTTAGGGCCAGGCACTGTGGTAGTGGTGGTGATGGAGAGGACAGGAGAGGAAGAGGGAGGGAGGGTTGCCACATAGAGGCAAAGGGGAGCAGAGCCTAAAAGAGGGGGCATTTTGTTGCCAGAGGTAGGAGAAAGGGTGCTGAGAAAAACAAAGCAGTGGACTAACGTGACAGCAAGTAATTTCCCTTTCTAGGCCTCAGATTTCTCATCTATAAAATGAGGCACTCTGCCTATTTTGGGGGACATTTGTGTGGATGATATAAGACCATTCATTTAATAAATAATACACTGAACATCTGCTGTGTGCCAGACACTCTTCTACAGTAGAGAACAAACCAGACCAAAGTTCCTGCCCTCAGAGAGCTTACAGTGGGTGAGGGGAGATGGCAATAACCCCAATCAATAACCAAGATAAACAGTATGTTGGATGGTGAGTGCTCTGGAGAAAAACATAGAGGGATGGGGAGAGGGTTTAACTTGCATATAGGGCAATTGGAGAGAGCCTCACTGAGAAGGTGACTGTCCCCTAAGGCTGCCAGAACAGAGTGGGTGGCTTATAAGAACAAAAATTTATTGTTTCACAGCCCTGGAGGCTAGAAGTTCAAATCATCCTGTCCACAGAGCTATATTCATTCCAAAGTCTCTAGCAGAAGATTGTTTCTTATCTCGCCAACTTCTGGTAGCCCCAGGCACTCCTTTGGTGGAGTTGCATCTTCACATGGCTGTCCTTCTTCTGTCTCTCTGTGTCTCTTATAGGCCACCTGTCAGATTGGATTAGGGGCCATCGCACTCCAGTATGACCTCAGGCTAACTTAACTGATAACAGCTTCAAAGACTCTAGCTCCACACCAGGTCACTTTCACAGGTACATTAGGACTTTAAGGGATCTTTTTTGGAAATACAATTCAATCCATAATAGTAACCAATAGCATGTTGGCTTTTTTTTAGTTTTTAATTATAAAAAATTTCGAATATACACAAAGTTGAGACATAGTATAATGAGTCTGTATCTCCATCTGGAGTCTTGGTGTGGTGTTGTAGGATAAGCAGTGGACTGCAAGGTTGGTTTGAACTGCAAGATTGGCAGTTCAAATCCACCAGCCGCTCCTCAGAAACCCTAAAACAAGGTTGCTATGAGTTGGAACCGACTCAACGGTGCTAAACAATAACGTCTTCATCAACCATCTTCAACAATCATCTACATCTTGTCTTTCTTGTTTCTTCTACGCATATGGAGAAATTAATACCAATCTTTAGGCGCCTCTTATGCTTCAGGGTAGATCTCTAACAGAAAAAAAAAAAAAAAATGAATATGAGGGGGTTTCAAAAAGGCATGGGAAAACGAGGAGATCATGGATTTTTCCCATGGATTTTTTTGAAACCCCTCACACAGACAGAACAGACATACACACACACAAAAGTAAGTCAAAAAAGTATTGCTATAAATAATAGAAACCTTTACTAAACAAAAATACCAAAATGAGAAGCTATTGTTTCTCAACATATCCTCCATCCAGGTCTATACACTTCTGATGAAAGTGTTTCCATCTTTCTAACCCTGCCCCCAAGAATCCTGTGCTCTTTGATTTACTCTATGTTAAAACAACTGTTTTGGCATTCTCAAGGGACTCATAGTTTGTCTTTTCAATGTTGTTTGAGTTTTGGGAACAGAAAGAAGTCTGAAGGGACAAGATCAGGGCTGTAGAATGAATGGGGTAAAATTTCCTAATGAAATCCTTATAGGACAGCCAGCCCTTGCTAGCCTTGAAGAATGAGCAGATGTATTATCTTGATGGAAGACAATTCCTTGGTACAATGTTCCTAGACTTTTTTATTTCTTAAAACTTGTCCTGTGTCCTTTGAGAAAATCTATCAAGATGACTTTGGAATTAAAAAAAAAAAACAAAAACAGTTGCCATAACCTCTGACTAAACCTCTCTGCCTTGAATCAAACTGTCCTAGCAGATGCCCCCAGAATTCACTGTTTTGATTGGACTTTTTTTTTT